AAAATATAAAACATTAGACTTTGATTTTTCACATGACGCGACGTTACATGTTGGATGGTAAAAACAGTTTTAACACAGTTTATAAATTTTGATTTCTTAAATACTGTTGAAAATTTAATAATACTGTACTTGATTTGTAAATGAAATAAATAAAATCAAACGGTAAAATGTAATCAGCTGATCAAAAGGTTCTTGTTAAGATCACCTGACGATGCCTAAATACTATTTGAAACATGTCGTGAGTTTCACCAGCACTGGTTGAACTGTATGTACATATAATAGCCTAATTAAACTGTCTAGGGGCTACACAATGAGTGTATATTATTATTTATATAGGTACCGGTACTGTATCTGCTAATATACACCCAACTATTTAATAATATTCATTTCTTGTTTAACCATATTGCTTAGTATAAAAAATATAAAAAATGTAGTTCCCTAAATGCATGTCTGTCTATAGTTCGGCCGCTTAGAAAGCGACCTCCTCCAGCATTGGTTTAGCATTAGCGCGCAGGTCGTTTTCTAAGCGGCCGAACTATAGAATTACATTGAACATGGTATATTGGATATTACTTACCAGGCTACATATTTATGAAGTTGTTACCTATTTAGAATTTAATAATTTACTTTAATAATGATAAGATTTATTTCAACGCTAATCAAAAGAAAGAAAAAAAATCTTTGCAAATTTATAACTAATTACTTTTTAACGACAAACGAAGGTAACTGTGAAAAACTGAGGCGATCAGTTTCTAAACTCAACTGTCTAATTGAATCATTAACAGGGTTACTTGCGCTATAATTAATTATGAGCTACTCTTTACTGACTGTCATTGTGCTGCTGTTACTTATGTTAATGCACTTATTTAGATATTGAAACGTATTACAATTCTTGCTATCTTAAAAGATTTAATGTGTTGATTAAATGTGTTAAACAATGTATTTTCGCTTTGTTTAGTATTATAAGCTTTTGAATGGTGTGTATAGGCATAAAACTATTGGAAGATATCGCTAAAATAAACCCAAAACACGTAATGAAATCGGGTCATATTATATGACATGGCAGGTAATGTATCTGTCTATAATGATTGTGATCCTCGACAATCGATGGGGAATTGTCTGAGTTACCATGGACATCTAGTGACTTTGTAGTGTTCCACAGTGAATTAAAAATTTACTTGGAAATATGGGATGATTCATAATTAACGACATATCTTCGGTTTGTTAGTGGGAGTCACTCTTCAGCCGGAGTGTGGAACTCGCCAAAGCCCTGCTCTATAACCACCAGTGAATACATGCCAAGGAGTAAGATTCTGAGATAAAATGAAGAATCTAACCCAATACACGATTTTTAATAGCGAAGAACATAATTGAAATCTGAATTATATAAACCTTTATGTTGATATAGATGACAATGATGACGTAACTTACGTAGACTTTAGATTAGTTAACGTTTTTCTGATAATGAATGATGCAAAATGTTTGTTTCAGTCCTTTTTAATTCCGTTATCTTGTGTGAATGTTATTGGCAAGTTATAATACGTTTGTGGAGGGATTCTTGGTCTGGACGACGCCAAAGTCCCGATCATGCACGGGAGTAATCATACTATGACCAGTATATTGTTATCTGTTTGAAAGTAGTAATCTTCTATGGACACAAGGTTCTTTGGGCACCATTATGCAATTGGTTTGTACTAACCTATCCTGTATTACTAGTACTATTATTATTTTATAAAGTAAACAGAAATAAATTTATGAGTAAGAAAATATCAACCTCCCTTTGAAAAGTAAAAACCTATATGAGTTAAACGAATCTGCATTTGATTAGGTCTGTATTTTTTTAATCAAATCGTACAACGATACAATGACTGAAAGCAAACATATAAATAGAATAGCAAAATACTTAAGTATTGAATATTATCATATAAAATTGACTTTATTGTTTATTTACAAGAATTCCTAAAGACATCCTTGTTTTATTTTCGTCGCTTTATATCGCGTTACTGGAGAGATAATTTTTACATTATTTTTAAGTGCTGTGCCTCGCTGTGACATCAAAGGGTATCATGCAAGTATTACACAAATATCTCAAAGATCATCCACCTCCTTTGATTACCAAGCTCAAAGGGAATTATTTGCCAATATCATAATATCACCAGCAACATGAACTGGCGCCTGTGAATGAAAAGCAATTACCAAGCTTTGATAATATCGTTTTTATATACAAGCTAGATCTCATTCACAGATTTTGTTTAGCTTCCTTTATTTAGCTCACAAAGTGTCTTTTAAAAATAGCACATTTGTTATTATTGTCTTGATAGTTCTTGCATTAATTTCATTTTCATCTTAATATTTTGTTAGTTTGGTCCTCCCACTGCATAAGGGTTGGATTTGGTCGTCATTCCTACAAATGTATACACTCGTCGTTTACACAAACATGTATGAGAGCATCTGACATACACATTCTAAGGCTGTTCAAGGCTAGTTTACTGTAGAAAACACACAGGTGCTGAATAAAAACATCAAATAAAATTTTGTCTCATAATAGTTTATTCATAACAAGAGTAGAAAGTGAGTCATTACATATTTGAGACCGTGTTTGAGGTGCGAGATTTATCTGGCACTTTAAATGGTCGAGAAAACGGTATAGACCCACCTTCACTCGTGATTTGAACTTTACTTTTCGCTACACTACAGAGACTAATTAAACAGACTTTGGATATTTCTTTGTTAGTTAGGAACATTAAAAAACTCATAGAATGTTTTAGGTTATGCTTTCAATTTAAATATCAACGTTGGTTATACAGTTTTGGGTTTTGCAAATTGTAACAGTCGACAAAACAATAACAAATCTTTGTTTGTTTACGTCGGCAAAATAAAAAAAAGATAATAAACACTACTTTCACATAGTAAATATTCTTTTTCCGCAGTGAACAATGTAATGATGAATTTTCGCAGGTGATAAACATGTAACGAAAACAGGTCATTTCATAGTAGTGTAGCGGAAAAGTGTTTTCGGTTAAAAATAAGCTCTAACTGATTCCCAAAATATTATTTGAGGTGGTTTATTGAAAATTCAGATTTGTTATACGTTAGTCAATTCAAATTTGCAATTATGTATGCAAATTCAAAGTATTTATACAGGATGATTACAAATTAAATAGACAGTTAGTATTTAATTTAATTTAAAGTTTGTCTATTTCATTTGTAATCACCCTATATATTAAAAAATATGGTATTTATCTATCATAAGTCAAATTGTAATATCTGAGATATATTTATTTTAAAATGCATTTCAAACTTCGTTTGCATTGAGTTGAAAACAATGGGAAAGTTATGTGGATTACGTCTAGATGACCAAGTATTAGCTACTGTATAGATTCGGAGCAATTATTAACCATCTGTAATCAACCTTAAAGTTAAGAATACAATGGAAACTCCATGTACAGTATCGAAACTTAAATTTATTTAATTAAAATACAAAATTGATGGTAAAAGAAAATAAGGGGTTCACAATATAGTTTACAATGAGTGGGGGATGAATGTAACAATGAAAGCTTTAGGCTAAGCCTATTACAATAGTTTTAATTTAGGTTCAGGTGTTATAACTTATTGCATGGATCTCAGGTCATTATCTCAGGTGGGGTGATCGAGTGGCATTTGAATTTAATCTTGTGATTTTATATAGCCTAATTAAAATTTTCTTTTAAAATATAAAATAGGTTCAAATTATTTTCTGATTGGTTGAATTAATGACTTGATTAGTGTTTCTTGACTTTTAAATTCTGGTAGAAATGTTCAAAAGTTAGACCTAAAATGTTTTAATGGCTTCCAAGGATAGAACATGTCTACTGGAGTGATCTCACCAAAAATTGATGTCTTCTTCACGGTAAATTTCTTGATGTAGTAATTATTAATGTTTTTAACAAGGACGGTTCTTCTTTAATCGAATTTCAATAATTTAGGTTCAAATATAGGCACTTTTTTTTATAAATTTTGATATTAAAATATGTAGTATCCAATTTACATCTTCATACTAGCTCAGCTCTCTTGAAAGTGATGCAGGTTTGATGCATAGTTGCACTCACATATGTCAATGCTGACTTAATCACAGAGAATCGTAGGCCACTGTTCACTTATATATATTATAACAATTTTAAATTTGCTAGAGACCTAAATTTGAATTTAGAAAAGTTATTAAAATAAAATCATATTGAATTTGAAGCAATTTTGTTACAAAAAGTTATAGGCTATTATATATTTACATGAAATTAGGTTATTTGAAAATTTGCTATATTATATTGTATTAGAACAATTACCTATTGGTCTGTTTGGACATATATTTTACAGGGTTTGATAAGGGGAGATGGATTGACATATTGATAAAAATAAGAACATATGGTAAAAATTAAATTATTCTATTGAAAAATATTAGTGGAAATATTGAATTGTTACACATGAATATATCTTTAACTGATTAGTTGCAAGAATTCCATGAAACAACCATGGCACTAACTAACCATGAAAACAGACTCAAAGATAAGTGTACACACAGATGCTTGTATTATTGTAACGCATTGTTCAACTCCTTACTCACCTCCCACTCAGAAATACGTTTAAATTGTTAATAATTGTTAATCGACACTAGAAAAGACCAAAAAGCTTTTCCCGACATAATGAACTTGTTTTTTGTCGAGGTGTTGTATCTTGACATTGTAAGCCCCAAGTTAAAATATGTGTGTGTAGGCCAACATTGATAAACCAGCAATTACGATCCCAATCATAGAATACAATATTAGTTGGATATACCAAACATACATGTTAGTGTAGGTGTAAACCAGCACAGTATTAGTTTATCTACTAATTGTTCCGCTTGTTTAAATAAAACAAGAGTCACAATCAACTTCGGCTCATCACAAAATGATAACTGATAAGTAATGAGTAGTAACTAGTGTACACTACTACACACACTCTTAGTTTCGTATTCTCACACACCTTGTCAAATAACATACGAAATGAATACATTAATAGTTTGGGTTTTGATAGGTAAGAAACAATTAATTGACCTGCTACAGTTTATTACAATAATTTATTCTGGTATATTTGTTTACAATAACGTATGCGATAACAAATAATACAAACCTGTCTGTGTCTGTAATAGTCACAAACTACTTATTCAAGGTATCACTTGAAACTGCATCTCGGGTCTAATGGACGATGCTATTGAAGTGTTATTTGTTATTAAAGTCATAGTTTTCTATCCAGCTTGTGTTTACTTTCAGGGGTCAACATTCCCGGTCTGCAATCACAGAATGGTGAGTAGTAAAAATACAATATACTCTATAATATAATGGTAAATTATATATATAGTTCATATTATCTCAGAATAAGGAAATAATTCAAAGTTTTAACACAGATATTTATCAAGTACACAACATACAAACATACAAGAGGTCGGAATGTTGGTAAAACATGGTAGTTTTTAAAAGATGTGTTACTAATTAGTGGACCAATTTTGTGTATCCTTATGTTCCAATAAATATTGTATTTTCTCAACATTAGGAAACTAGCATATATATTTTTTTTAATGTAAGAATAATAATTATTTAAATACCCCCGCTGCAGCAAACCTGCAGACAAAGCTAATTCCATTTTCTCTGATTGGATTTTTACTAAAATATTTCAAGAAACAAGACATTTTTATTCGAACTTTAAATAGCATTAGATTTAACGATTGTTATTGATCGTATATCATTATTATTATTTATCACGTTTTTTAGCTGTCAAATAAAGCAAAATCAGGTGCACGCCGACTTACTTAATCTTATTTTACACCAAAAACCCATTTCAGTTATTTGTAATTCGATCTTTTTGATCTTAATAGGGAATTTAAATGCTAAATAAAAGCGGCCTAGGAATGTTTTCATAAATTTAGCCTTAAATAAAATTAATAAAATTAGTTCTTTTCTAATTTAAGTTAAATAAATTAAAATGGATGCCATTTTGACATTTCCAATTAGAAAAAAAAGTATTTTTTACCCTAACATAACTTAGGTCTTTTTAACCATCGTATACATAACTAGTTGCATAAAGATTGTTTAAAAACTTTAAATATAAAAATGGTTATGAATAGAAAAAAATGAGGGATATCTGGGTAAATATGCATTTTTGGACATACCTTCACATTAACTTTTTTCTTTATTTTAGTATGAGTATCCATTATAACCTGAAAGAAGTATCCTTAAGTCCTGAAGAAGGTTTTCCAACACCCTGTGTATCAGTTGGAACGAATAAATGGGCTTTTTGGCCTCTGAGGACGTCATCAAAATGAAAAATTAAATCGGTCCCGGACCTAGGTCTTACCGTGGCACCTACGGTAATAACTACTTCCCTATACGGAAATTCACTAAATCTCAAACACTCTTTTTTTTGCAGTTTGATGTAAACTTACCTCACTTGGCAGTGTAATACAGTAATTATTAAACTCTTGATTTAAACAAAATTAACCCTTGGCTGTGTATCATTGTTTTTTTTTTTATTGTATGGTGTACGATTCATTAGTTCCGATACACCATTTTGCTGAGGTGAATACTATATCCAATCTGTATTCCTTTTTCTTGACAAAACTGTTTGAACTCCTTTGATGAATACTCACCTACGTTGTCACATCGAATTCTAGCTACTTTCGCTCCTTTCTGTGTATTCCTCTCTCTTATATAATTGTTCATATTCTCTGATGCTTCTGACTTTTGTTTTAACCTTCACTTAATGAGTATAGTCATCCATTATTGTTTGAAATTATTTGTAATTTTCTCTTGAAGTTGGAGTTATTGGTCCAGAAATATCAGAATTAATTAATGTTCCAATTCCATTACATTTACGTCCATTGTGGGACCTAAAAGGCGGTTTAATTGTCCTTTCAAACATGGTTCACAGATCTCATCAGAAATGGGTAATCCCATTTTTTGGGATCTTTTCTCTTTAAATGTCTCAATCTCTGATCCCATAAGTTATTTGTTTGTTAACATTTCAAGATTGTAAGAATTTTTATGCTTATAAACTCCCTTAAGCCTAGTACAGAATAATATTGAGGCTTTTTATTCCCATAAGCGATATAACATGGCTTAGTAATTAGTAAAAGTATAAATAGTATCATTTACTGGTATCATACTTGATGCACATTATATACTGATAAGAACTATGGTAAAATATGGTTACGTATTCACTAGAGATGTGTAAGGACGGGAACGCAATTTACTATCCGAGTCAGCAATGGGCAGGACCTCCTGGAACCTGTCAGCTTCACCGCTGCACCAAACTGATAGACGGCATCGTAGCAATATCCATTCAAAGGTAAGTCAATATTTGAGTTTATTCTGAATGTATAAGACTCTTTTTGAAACAAACTGAATACGGTATAAAATACGAGAATTTATAGGATGGTCATTAATTTGTATCATGCTCCCATTCAATGTAATTCAACATTCTTGAATTACAACACAATTTGGAATCTTTCAGGTGCCCTGAAGAGAAACTTCAAGGCGTTAGCAAGACAGGGTCCTGCCAAATAAGTGGTATTGATAGAAGTAAAATGTACCCCCAGTGCTGCCCGACGATATCTTGCACGAGAGTGGTTGGTGGGCAAGCTCCGTGCAACCGCAAACAGATCAATATGATAGATGATGACTACTTGGATCTCGTATTGAATTGAAAACAAGGCATAAGACTACGAAGCCTTCCGCCGACAGAGGAGAATAGTACTACTGTACCTACTTCCTAAAGAGTCAACGAAAGTGAAATAAAAAAATACCAAGTTTTTCTCTGACTCAAAATACATTTATTTACAGCTCAGCCGTTATTTACACATGGTATCAACAGGTTAAGAAATGTTTAAGCCCTTTGTTATTATTGCAAGGCAAACAATTGGGACTGAGACTTCACAGTAGTCATTACCAAAAAAGTGGTTAGTATGTAACAAATGATGTTATCACTAAGAAATATAGTTGAGAATTATGGTCTTACAATAGATGAAAATATAATATTCTTGCATTTGTTCTGTCCTAAAAGAAAACCAAACTAAAAAAAGATAAACCTTTTTAAATTGTATTCATGCTATTAATTTTAGTCCGTAAAACTTTAGTAGTTCAAAGTTTATAGCAATAAAACTCATGTTTTTCAACTAACTTACACGTAAAATAAGCTATTAGTAACCGAAAAAATTATTTTGATTCAAAGGTTGCACAGACCTTTACATTACAGGGGATAAGAGAGAAAGTTTTCCTTCCAAATTTTAAGGATTCTTTCTCGATATTTCAAATCACTATTAAAGGATTCATACGTGTTTTTGTCTGTTGTGTACTACTTACAACTTACATTTACGTTCACCTGTAAAGACTCACATTATAAACTTATCTTAAAGTATCTTAATCTGGTCAATGAATCCAATTTCAATAACTTTTTTACCATGGTGGATAAGTTAATAAGGTATAATAATGATAATGTGCTGGATAACATTTTACGAATTGAGAACGAGTAAAAATAAGACTACTCGTTGCTTTTTATGTAACAAAATCCTTCGCTTTTAATGGAATTCGGTTGGTTATTAAGTGCTATTCTAGTTCGAAAAATACAACCGGATACTAGCCCTAAAAATGTGTGGTACGGATATGTAAAAGCAGTTAACTTTATTTTCTGACATCTCCATCGGATAACCGATACAGGGGTAGATTAATCAGGTTTCGCTGATATCCCATTAATTGACTTTGTGGTTTGAATGGCTTATTACATTTAGGTGTATTAAACACATAATGTGGTAAGGCATCCTGAATATGATCAATAACCCTCGATTATGTTAGTGTACATAGCTTGAAATTGTTTATTTAATTTTGGCGTTTCAGTAATAGTACTAAGAATAACTTAAATTGTAGGAAACAATATTGGCAATGTGTATTGAATTGGTTCAACAGTCATTCAGTACTTCCTGCGTTAATTCAAATATTAAATATTCAAATTTTACCAGTTTCAAAATGAACAACATTAACACAAGCCAATCCCAAATAACTATACTGATGAACCGTATCGACTTTTTGTTAATATCTGTAAAAAAAACTATACCTGTTAATAACTTAAAATGATTCACTGAACATAAAACTAAATCTTGGACACCTACGTTTTGTCGTGTAATTATAATGACTTTGTAGGTTTATGTAAGATTGGTATAGATAATTCAATTCAGACAACCATGAATAGTTAATTGTTTCCTGATACAATAAATGCCACCCTGACCTGACCCATATATTCAGCAATAACAACCAATTGTTGTGGATGAAGGTGACAGCATACTGCGTAGCATCTCCTCACCTTCGCCTCGTAGCAATTACTGTATGTTGTGTCTACACTATTTGATTGTGTTTCCTTCGTCGGCAAAACGTATATAATGAAATTATATACATGAAATTATATATATGAAATTATATGAAATTAATGAAATGTCACCTCTCTATACATATACATTTATAAACCATAACCAAGGCCATACTGGCCCTGATGTGCTTTGTAACACAAGTAGAGCAAAGAATTTAAATTCAGCAAACATCGACAAGTAGGAGTCAACTGTTACTGTTTGAAGATGCACATCTTTGCGAATGTGTTGGTTCCTGAGGTACTTCGACGTAGACATACCAGTTTAACACTCCTATAGACAGATTTGGTTCATTATTTTTTCCATTCATGGTTTGGACAGATTAATTCTTGCTGTTGTTTGTTGAATATGACGGTGCGTACAAAGTACTCTCTTTATGAACTAATGCGTGTGGCATTTCATGAGGGGGAGGGGTAGAGTTATGGAGTACAACATGGAGTAACAAAGACTGTAACCCATTTATAATACTTGAAGGCTCTTTAACAAGACATAAGAGCACAATTTAAATAATTTTTTGTCGTTTTTATAAGGGATAAATCAGCCCATAATTTTGCTTTTGGAATTTACTTTACGCTTTACACTGCCCGAAACAGTGGAAAAAAGATTGAATAATAACCTATGTTATTTTTACAGGTGTCATGAGAATCTACAGACATAACACTCCTATACAAAATATATTTTACAAGCTACAGAGCCCGTTGTGGTTAGATACAACGGTCTCTAGGAAAATAACAGTTATAAAATCCATGCACCCCTTTACTCACTACTATTATTGGTACACATTAAGAACATAACTTAGAAACTCACACATACAAACTCACAAATGCAAATTGTAAGTAACAACATGCAAACAAATGAAATAGCACTACAAAAATCAGCTGTTAAATTATCAACACATGTTTAATATGAGTAGATTGATTAGGCATATCGGAAAACCAATTATTGGAATAAATAAAAAAAATCTAACTTTCATAATTATTCGCAAATCTACATGGATGAAGCTTTCCATTGACCTAATATTTAATAAAATCTGGCTAGTAGAACTGTACATTTAAACCTACAAAGTTTAACAAAAATTTGTGTAACTCTTTAATTTCTCCCCAGCAATAAATTCGGAGGTTGCTTAGCTATTTTTCATATAACTTTTAAATAGTTAAGAAATTGAGCAATGTGGAAGGTTAAGATTTTAAAATAGAATATCACTATGCATTTGTAGAAAATATCCAAAATTGGCAGTCATAAGTTGTCTCCAAATAAAGCATGTGAAAAACACAGTACATTAAGTATTTCTTATAGAAAAAAATTGGCGTATTTCATTTTCACCATAAATCATAACGAAAACAAACGTTCATAATTATTTGCAAATCTACATGAATTCAGCTTTCCAACTACCCATTAATTAATAAAGTTAGACCAGTAGAACTGTATATTTACATTTTCTCACTACTATAAATTTGGAAGTTGTTTATTTTTTTTGCAAATAACTTTTAAATGGTGAGGAATCGATTAATGTGGACGCTGATATTTTGAAAGCGAATAAAATTTCATACAAATTACTATTTTGTGTTTCTTGAAAATACTTAATAAAGGCAGCCTAAAGTTAGCTACAAATAAAAACTTGAAAATAAAAAATTGAAAAAGCAGTTTTTAAAGTATTCTTGGTATTTTTGTATTTTTTCACCTAAATATTAAATAAAATAAAACTGTTATCAAGTCCTTAAATTATATAATAAACATGATACAAGAGAATGTACAACCTATTTTATTCAACCATTTCAACTGAATGAAAAATATATAAACATAAACATAAACATTAAAAAACAATAACATAAACCATGTGTGTTGAAATCATATGTTGATGACAAATCCTTATTAATCCTCCCCCTCAAATTTACACGGCCGAATGTGGTTAATGTGCCTTCTCCAAATCTGCCCATTGTCCATCTCGATTTGATAATGCACCAATCCTTCTCTCCTTCTTACGTTTCCAAATTTCCACTTTCCGTCTTTTCCGAAATTGCGCACCTGAACCCTGTCCCCCACCCGAAACTCTCTTTTCATTTTGGTACACCCGTGGGGCATTTCTGTGTGATCTTGGGGTTTCTTCATAAGATCCAGCCTTGTCCTTATTCGTCTCCCAAACATAAGTTCATATGCTGAGGACCCTGTAGCATTTGTGGCATTCCTTAGTGACATTAGGATGTGATTTATTTTGAAGTGCAAATCTCCTCCATCATTCTCCATTGCTATTAACTGTTTCTTTACAGTCTGAACAAATCTCTCTGCTTGTCCGTTGGTTGCAGGGTGATAGGGGGCAGAGAATTTGTGTGTGACGCCACAAGCTTGTAGGAATTGGTTGAAGATAGATGATGTGAAGTTAGGACCATTGTCAGAGACTAACGTGAACGGGTAACCAAAGGTAGAGAAAAGTTTCCTGAGCTGTTGAATGCACCAATTAGATGTTGTAGTTTTGGTTGGTATGACTTCAACCCACTTTGAATAGGCGTCAACGATAACAAAAAGGTATTGCCCATAAATTGGACCTGCAAAGTCGATGTGTATTCGTTGCCAAGGTCCTGATGGAACCAGCCAAGGATGGACATCTACTTTTTCAGGAAGATTCTGCTTCAAACAGCATGGACGACAAGACTTTGCTAGATCTTCTATGTTACGGTCAATGTGTTTCCAGTAACAAAAACTTCTTGCAAGATTTTTCATTTTCACAACTCCTAAGTGTCCTAAATGAAGTTCATTGAGTACTTTTCCTTGCAGTTTTTCAGGAATTACTACTCTGGAACCACGAAAAATGCAGCCATCATGAAGTGAATACTCATTATTCTTCAAGCCAATATGTTCTAAATCAGTACCATCTTGAAGTGCTTTCAAAAGAGGTTTTAGGTCATTGTCCTTTGATGTTTCATTTGCAATATTTTCGTGTGTTACAGGCATTGATTCAATTTGGTTAATGAAAAATGCTTCATGTTGATCAATTTGATTTGTCGGTGGATGCTCATTAGGAAAGCGAGACATGTAGTCGGCATTGCCATGTGATTTGGTGTTCCTATATTCAATAGTATAATCGAAGCCAGAGAGGAAGTGAGCGTAATTGAAAATACGCGTGGCAGTCATGGTAGGTAAGGTTCTGTATGGGTCAAAAATTGAAACAAGTGGCTTATGATCTGTTACAAGGATAAACTTTCTGCCATAACAATATTGATAGAACTTCTTCAATCCCCAGTAAATCGCCAGTGCCTCTTTGTCTATCTGACTGTACTTTTTTTCACTTGCAGTGAGAGATCGAGAAGCGAATGAAATTGGCCGTTCAGTACTATCTTTGTATCGGTGAGAAAGAACAATTCCTAATCCGACTGGAGAAGCGTCCGTGGCTAGCACTAAGGTTTCATTTGGATCAAAATGAGCAAGAACCCGGTCACTAGCTATCTCAGCCTTAACTTTTTCAACGCATTTATCACATTCTCTGGTCCAAACGAACTTAGTGTGCGCCTTTAATAGATTGAGTAGTGGATTCAAGATTGTGTTCAAGTTGGGGATAAATTTCTGGTAGTAATTAGTCAAGCCCAGGAATGTTCGTAGCTCTGACACATTTGACGGTTTTGGTGATTTTAAGATTGCTTCCACTTTGTCCTTATTCTTGTGTAGACCATTTTGATCTATAGTATGTCCAAGGTAATCAATTTGTGTTTGAAAAAACTTGCATTTGTCTTTATTTAGTTTGAGGTTGTGTCTCCTGATGACTTTCAAAACACTTTCTAGCCTTGTTAGAGCCTCAGACTCAGTCGAACCTTGAATAATAATATCATAAAAAAAACACTGAACGCCATCAATTCCAGAAAGTATTTTGTCCATAAACCCTTGCCATAGGGCTGGAGCAGTCTTAATTCCGAACATGAGTCGATTTACCTTATACTGTCCTTTATGTGTACTGATTGTTTGAAGTAGCGCACTTTCTTGGTCCATTGCCATGTGTAATTAAGCGTTACTGATGTCTAGTGTACAAAAGTACTTACCTCCACTCATTTTTGCAAAAATATCCTCAATACGTGGAATAGGGTATTTGATGTCCTTAATTTGTTTATTTAAAGTCACTTTGAAATCTGCACAGATTCTGACCTTGCCACTGGGTTTCACGACTGGAACGATTGGAGTTCCCCAATCACTTTGTTCGACCTTCGAGATGATTTCTATTTTTTCCAATCTGTCCAGTTCTTCTTCAACTTTAGGTCTTAAAGCATATGGCACTAAACGAGGTTTCATGTAAACTGGTTTGGCATCTTCAAGTAGTTGTATATGACCTTCTACCTCGGGAATAACACCGATATTTTGATCAAATACATCCTTGTAATTCTCAATCAGTCTATCGATATCTGCATGCGTGTGAGAACTTGTAATACTCCTAAGGTCAGCCCAATCTAGTTTAACTTCCCTTATCCAATCACGTCCAAAGATAGGATCGACCTTCCTGTTGATTACCAATGAAATCGTGATTTTTGTACGTGCATTTCACAAATACATATCCAACAGGCTCAAAAACCTCCCCGGTATAAGTGCGAAGTTCCACTTTCGTTTTGTGAATGGATTTGTTTAATCCTAGATTCATGTAATCCTTGTAAGATATGGTGCTCAATGCGGCGCCAGTATCTAGTTCCATCGTAATTTCATTTCCCTCAATGTCCACCTTCAAATTAAACTTATCTGAGTTTTTTGAAGTTATTAAGTTCATTTCATAAGACTCATCTTCTTCAAGTAAGACATCAGCTTGACATGTGTTTCTCAAGTTTTTAAATTTTGTTATGGAATTCTCGCTCAGACACACTCGAGCGATGTGACCCATCTTTCCACATTTTCTACACCAGTGTTCAGTAAATTTACATTTGTTAGCTTTATGTTTTTCGTCACCGCATCTGTAACACTTTCCCTTAAGTGATTGGAATGTGAATGAACTGTTGTTGTGTCCTGTAGATTTAGTTCTCATTTCACTGTTTGTATTGAATTGTTTATTAGTAGGCTTTGAGATCACTTGATTAATTTCGGCTTTATGTTGTGAAGATGTAATCATTGTATTTTCAGTTTTAGATAGTTCCATTATCTTAGCAGTATTTATAACTTCCTGGAAGGTCTTGTCTGATTCTACTTGTAGTAGTTTTGTTCTTATCTCAGCGTCTCGCAATCCCCTGATGAACTGTAAACGTAGCATAGTTTCAGCTGTAGATTTTCCACAAGAACATTTGAATTTACAAGGAGTAACCAGTTTCTTTAGTTCAACTGTAAAATCTGTAACGGATTCACCTATCATTTGCTCTCGTACTATGAAATTATGTTGCCGTGCCCAAACGCTTGGTTGAGGATTCAAATATTGCTTCAATAAAGCTGTAAGGTCATCATAATCTTTCTGAAGTGGCGTTTCAGGTGCACAAATGTTGTAGAGCTTTTGATGTAACATAGGAGGTAGGGCATTAAGTAGGGTGAATGTCTTTGTAGTTTCATCTGATATGTGTTTCAGGTGCATAAATACTTCAAGTCTTTTTGTAAAATTGTCAAAAGATTCATCTTCACTGAAAGGTACAAATGAAATATGGGATGTTGAAGCTGTATTGCCAGTAGAGTAGCTTGCATTACCATTGATTTCTTGAGTTGTATTCGAAAGTGAAATAGGTTTCATTTGCCTCAACATAATCTTCAACTTAATGAATACTTCTTCAATGTCCATCTTGCAATTTACTTCTTCATCCAGTTCTGTATCGTTTATTATTAGTTCTATTTTCTCTTGTACTTCAAGAAATTTAGTCCATGTTGAGTCCAGAAGTTCTAGACGTTCGTCAACTTGCCTAGGATCAATTTCATGATTGTTCAGCTTGTTTGTTAATTTAGTCAATTGTGTCTTGATTGAAGTTCTTATCCTTTTGTAACTGTTTAAATGTGATGTAATGTCAGTTGACTCCATTTTTTTTTTCCTCGTCGCCAGTTATCAAGTCCTTAAATTATATAATAAACATGATACAAGAGAATGTACAACCTATTTTATTCAACCATTTCAACTGAATGAAAAATATATAAACATAAACATAAACATTAAAAAACAATAACACAAACCATGTAAGTTGAAATCATATGTTGATGACAAATCCTTATTAACTGTCATAATGATTTGCAAATCAACGCGAACCAGGCTTTCCAACGACCCATTATTAACCAAATCGGTCGAGTAGAAGTCTAGATTTAGTTGTACAACGTTTAACAAAGATATCTCTAATTCAGTATTTTCTAACAACTTTAGATTCGGAATCGCTTGACTTATTTGCCAATTAGTTGGTAAATTGTCGGAAAATCGACCAAAGTTGATGTAATATATTGAAAGAGAGTAAAATTGTCGTACAAATGACTTCTATAAATTTCTTGAAAATACTTAAAAAAGGCAGCCAAAAGTTGGCTAAAAATTGAAACATGAAAAAGCAGTTTTAACGTATTTTTTACGATAAAACATAAAAAAATTCTAACTACATGCAAATCTATACAAATTAAGGTTTCCAACGGTCCATTAATTAATCAAATTGGTCCAGCTAAACTCTAGATTTAGTTTTATAAAAATATTTTAACCAAATTATATAGAATAAGGAGATTTTATTATAGGTGTTCACGTAATAGAACTGCTGATATATTAAATTAACATAATGTAATATATATATAATATACAAACAACCAATATAAACAAAAGTTAAGTATTTAATGTTAATTGAAGTTTGAAAATGGACTTATGTCCGAAACATGTCACTTCTATTAAAAATTGAATATTCAGGGTGCTAAGCTGTACTTTATTTACTAGAATAATTTAATAAGTAGATTTGTATAAATTTGCATAGGCTATTTTTGCATAAAGCTCAATTATGAAAGCTCCTATTCCATGTAATGCATCATTGGGTGTTAGCAGTAACCTTATCATTAACGGGTCTAATGTTTAAGTGCAGGACTTTGATAATCGAGTTCCCGGGTTTTACTCCCGCCAATCACCAATGGATTTTGCCTAAGCGACACCCTCTAAGCTTAGGCTGAAGTAATGTGTAATGGTTCTGGGGTGAATGTTGGGCAAAAAAACATAGTCATTATTCGTTTCTTTACTTCACGTCATGATTTATTTTGTCTTACTGAAACCAAAAGTGGGTAATAGTTAAATCGTATAAGTTAGCACTTGTTGGAATACTTGAGTCGCAGTTTAGTGGTGGGGATGAAATAAATTTGTGTTGCGTAATTTGACGCCGAGTACGCAAGGCGGCTTACCTTGCTTCATTTAAGTTAATGCTGAATTCCAGACGTGGATGATAATTCTACAACTTGTCTTCAATTCTATTATTAAATGGTAATAAATATATAAAAAAAACAGTAATATGAAATTAGTCAATGTGTATGTTTGGGCAGTTGTCAATTTGTAAATTCGAATTACCCTTAGTAAAACTTTATCACGTAAATACAAGATCAATTAAATGACACTCGGCAGATTAAAGGACCTTACAAATGGGAAACAGAAAATCAATTACATCAAATGCTTTCTCTAAATCACAGCCAACCTTTATCAGTAATGAGTTTGTCTCGAGCAAACCTTTAGTAGCCCAGAATATCTCCGATACATCGTTATGCCTTATTTCAATGACATATGGGAAAATGTATTTTGACAGTATAATCACACTATGTAGAAGAGCCTTTGGTAATTTGATCTTATATACTAACAAACTTTTGCAAACCTTGTGACAGCTAGCCTAACCATACTACTAGACCGAATTACACGTGGTTGGTACCAAATGAATGATATTTTCCTGAAGGTGTGCAGAATCCCTTTATAAATTAAAATATACAAAAAAATAGGCACAAAAATTGAATTTGAAATTAAAAAAAATAACATGGACCATATGGGTTTTAATGTTGGTAACAAAATAACAACGAAATATAGACAGAAAATCAAAACAAATGGAAGAAATTCCAAAAACATGTTTTGTTTACAGCGTGCGATAAAAATAAAGAAGTTTGCACAATATATACTATTGGTCGAGTTTTCGACCACGGGGCGAGCTCTCGTCCTAACTAAGAAAGTGTCAATAAACATTTTCATAGATTTTTTATAAATCAGCAAAAGTTAGGAATGAACTGAAAAACACTGTTAGTGACATATCAGTAAAGCCTTGTTGAAACAAAGTTGAAAAATGCGAGTAGTAGCGTCGCTCAGGCCGCAGGTGTTGACGTTTGATTGGACCGTTACACAGTGTGGCTTTGATATAATATGTATACAATTTGAGATCATGTAGATGGAATTTAGTTTTCACACTTGCAAAAAAATACCAACGTGCAAGAAACTTATAGCCGTTCGCATATACCCGTCAAATTACAAAAAAATACCCCAAAATACTGTGATAAATTATTTAGTTTTTGTTTGCAAAATTTATTCGGCAAGCCGTATCGCCCCCCAATACCAGATCTTCGTACGTAGTCAAGCTTGCTTATAAGATAGGATATGAGATGAATAATGCATTTTCCATTGAAATTTCTTTTTGAAATTTCCCAAATGTTCTTCTAATCAAAGTAAAAGCTGGGCAGTATGATACAGCGATGCAATACACAGTGCAGTATGTGTTTGGTATTCCAATATGCTCAGTTAGCATACCGTGCTGAAGCCTGTGTACAAAACCTCTAGTGGGTTGTAAGCTGTTATTGCATGAGGGCAATCATGTGTTAATGTTAATTTATTTAACCATTCCTCAAAAATAATATTTTTATTCATGTTAGTGTGAAAAGATTTTTAAGATGTGGCAAAATAATTAATACTTTTGTACTCTAATTTAAGTTTGTATTTGATAAAAATATTTCCTGTACACCAATTAAACTAAACAAGGAAATATAATTTAAACAAATAAAATACAAGTATTTATACAGTTTTGGCATATGTATTTTTTCTATATTTATGTAGGCCTATATAGTTTGTTTAAAGTACTAGGCATTCAATAATATTTATTTATATTTTTCCCAAAAGGTGTACACACTAATTATGACAATTTCTAATGTCATACTATGCACTCAGTCTCAAAATGAAGGACTACTTGCTTAAGAGTCCTTGGAGCATAGACGTTCTAACTCATAAAACAATTAATAAAATACGAAGACAATGTTTTAATTTAACAGTGCACTAGATTTAAATTACTTTGGTATTTGAAAAAATAATGTTAGATATTTAACGAAATTAACATTGCTCTTATGGTGGGCAAATCCAAGATGGCCGTTAGCTTCCATGGACTCCCTTGGAAAACAACTCAAAACCCCATCGAAAATTTCCAATCTCACAGTGCACTGGATATTTAAACTATAACCTCTTTGGTATTTGGAAAAATATTTTTTTATAATTAGCAACTCTTTGGTAGCTGTTTGAAACTATACAAGATGGCCGGTAGCCTCCAAGGACTCTTAAGAACAACAGCCAAT